ATAAGTCAACTGTTGTAGTTTGCTTGTTTATGAACATATTTTGATCAAATTTGGAAAATACATTAATTTCTTACTAAACCACAGTACCTTTTAACATTTACATAAAAAAAACTTTTTACCCTCCCTGTTGCAGCAAACCTAAGTAGCCTACTCATTAAACGAATTCTGTTTAAATAGGGAATAAATGTGATATTTTTAAGGAGACATTTTAGTTTAAATCCAACCAGGCAAATGGAAATTCGCTAAGTCTGCAGGTTTGCTGCGGCGGGGGTATTTTTTTTATCAGAATTTATTTTACAATCTGTTCAAACTTCAAATATGAGAACAATAAGTAAAATATATATCAAACAATGTCAGGAAGCAAGCACCTGTTCATCAACAAGTCTTGCCAAAAATTGGTTCAGTCATTTGAACATTTACAGAAATCTGTAGCTTAGGTCCAGTACATGCACAACACTTTTTAACCTGGTAATGCACTGACTATTGTCCAGCAGATTAACAGCAAGACTGTTCGGATGATATTCTAATTTTTCTTGATAATTTTTGCTAAGGTCTGTAATTTCTTCTTTCACTGATTTAATTTTGAAGTCATTCCTAATTGTAGTGTTGGATACGAACCAGGGTGCGCCAATAATTCTTCTCAGTGCCTTAGCCTGAAATCGTTCAAGAATTTCGATGTTGGATTTGCTCGAGGTCCCCCAAAGTTGAATTCCGTATGTCCAAATTGGTTTGATCATAACTTTATACAGTAAAATTTTGTTTGCCAATGATAATTTTGAATTCGTACCTAGTAGCCAATTGAGTTTACGAAGTTTTAATTCAATTTGCTGTCTCTTGCACCAGATATGAGATTTCCAATTTAATTTTTTGTCAAGAGTTAGACCTAAATATTTTACACTGTCTGCCTCCGTTAAGGCTACATTATTAATGGTTACAGGAGGATTGTACCCTGTTCTCAGAGTAAAAACAATATGTTTGGACTTGTTTTCGTTGACTTTTATCCTCCACTTTTTAAGCCAATACTGGAGTTCAGTCAAGGCAGCTTGTAGATTTATGTTAGCGACTTGAGGGTCCACATGACTCGACAACAGTGCGGTGTCATCAGCAAACGTAGCAACTGTGACGTTGGGGACCATAGGGATGTCTGCTGTATATATCAAATATAGCAAGGGACCAAGAACACTCCCCTGAGGTACTCCAGACTTTATCGGCTTCAGATCAGATAACGAATTTTCGAATTTTATTTGAAAAGATCGATTGGTCAGATATGATTTTAGAAGGTTGTACAAAGAGTGAGGGAGAGACGTTTTGAGTTTAAACAGAAGTCCGACATGCCACACCTTGTCAAACGCCTGTTGGACATCCAAAAATGCAGCAGAACAGTACTGTTTTTTCTCAAATGAGTTTTTTATAATATCCACTAATCGGTGAGTTTGTTGAATGGTAGAATGTTGTTTGCGGAAGCCGAACTGATGATCTGGTATTAAGTTTAATTCATCAACAGTGGGGGTTAACCTTTTAAGTATTACCTTTTCAAACAACTTTGATACTATAGGAAGCAAGCTTATGGGTCTGTAAGAAGATGCGTCATTAGGTGGTTTGCCTGGTTTTGGGTTTAACAACTAGTTGTGCAATTTTCAGTTGAACAGAAAAATATTCCAATCGTAACATAGCATTAAATATAAATGTCAACAACATAATGGCTTTACGAGGTAGGCCTAGTTCTCTTAAAATATTTCCAGTGATGAGATCGTACCCAGGACTTTTCACGGGGTTAATTTCCTTAAAAATTATTCTTGAAACCTCTGAAGGAGTGCAAGATTTTATAGGCAGTGACAACTGATTTGGTGCATCCAAAAATTCGTAAATTTCACTTTCGTCATTGGGGGGATTCGGAGTAATAGGCTTAAATACATCAGAAAAGTAATCTTCAAAAACCTTCGCTTTTTCTTCAGGGGTTTTAGCCCAGGACCCGTCAGGTTTCCGAATTGGAGGTACATGTTGAACTGGACGTTTAATATATTTCGTAGACTTCCAAAGAGAATACTCGGTTGCTTCAGTTGGGGTTAGATTTTTCGTAAAATCGTCAAACCATGTATTTTTCAGTTCCACTAAACATCGTTTTAATTTCTGAGCTGCACGATTTAGACGAGTTTTATCAAGAGGGTCGCGTGAATTTTGCCAAATTCTCCGTAGTCTACGTTTTTCTGCTACTTTCTTCTTAATATAAATTGGGTAGTTACTTGATTTTGAGACACAGATTTTAGATTTTGGAGTTGCTTCCCAGGCTGATTTCTGTATGGTAGTGTTGAAATAATTTATTGATTCTTCCACATCATGTTCATTCCGTTTTAAGATCAATACTGTTATTTACAAGGGTCCTAAAGTAATCCCAGTTTGTATTCTTATTCCACAACATATAAGATTTTTCCTTCAAGCATATACTAGTACTGTAAGTTATGATTACAGGGGAGTGGTCTGAAGAAAGATCAAGGGATGATTCGATATTCGTGTAGTTCAATTGTATACCTTTAACCACAAAAAAGTCCAGTAGGTCCGGTATTTTATTTCGGTCAGTTGGCCAGTAAGTAGGTAAACCTGAAGATACACAATCCAAATTCATTTCTGTTATAGCTCTGTAAAGAGTTCTGCCTCTTGGAGTTACTAGTCTCGAGCCCCAGTGTGTGTGTTTAGCATTATAGTCCCCACCCGCAATAAATGTTGGACCAAGTGTTGAGAAAAATAAAAAGAACTCAAAGCTTTTACTTACTTTTAAGTTTTGAGTTTTTTTATTTTGAGTAAAATAAATTCTGATAAAAAAAACAAAAAAAACTTACTTTTAAAATGATAAAATCAAACGTAGACAAACAATAATTTACAACATCTGGTTAATATTACGGGTTGAATTAAATTAAACATGTGATCTTGTTTCTAAAAAGCATCGCTCATACTAATAAGCATTGATTATAAAATATCTCATTTTATACTATGTGAACAAAAAAAAAACATTAACACTCTTTCTACTAAACCAAAAACATACTAAGCCCTACTATTTATAACTCCTACTATTCACGTACCAAAGGCAAGTGCATATAAAACTTAGTTTTTTATTGTTCTTTTTCAATTGAAATATTTGTATATACCCCTAGCTTAGAATTAGGAAATTTAACGTCATTCAAACAATTTTTATGTCAAGGGTCGGTTAAGTTAAGAGGAACTTGAAAATATACATGTAATGACCATGGAACGCTCGTAAAAAGTTATCCATTATTAGAATAGAATGTGAAATCTACAGGAAGTGTCAAAGGTTATACCAGTAGCTACCTCTGGATTAGAAAACATCATAACTAATCTATGGGTAATAATTAGTAATATGCAATTTTTATTTTAAAATGTGTGAAAAGGCAAATGGTGTGAACAATATTTCTCTCAAAATGGCAAAAATATACAATTAATTATCTCCTTGAGAAAAAAGTTTCAATTTTTAAGGTGTGTGTGCCCTACTCTAAACACGATTTAATTCTTCAAAAATGTTAAAATGATTCAAGTAGGCTAAATGTGACTTTACAATTTTACTATTTTTTACACCAAAATCTTTCAATACAATCATTCTTGCGAAATTTTAAATAATTAATTATGGTTAGATACAGCAACAGATAATTATACAATCTCACTTATTTCATAAAACCAACAATCAATGAACCATCAAATATATAAGAATAAATAAACATGTCACATGATTGTAGAGAATGTTATATGCCTATTTATAAACCAGCTGTGGAATTGTGAATTAATGTGGTTTGACAGTTCAGCTTACATTTGGGTGGCATAGCAAATTGTAAACATTGTGTGTGTTAAATGGCAGCCATGGAGACCAATCAATATTTACTTTTAAAATACTCAACTCAGAACTTTTAAAGCCAAAGGGGCAAAGCCCACGGTCAGTATCAAAGTGTGAATAGTCCTATAATGGTCCTTGGTATGGTCGCTATATTTGTGTAAAATTTAAGCCCAGTCAGTTCAGTAGTTTATGTGCCTATTAGTAACACACATACAGACAGACACCACTATATTTTTATATAATAGTATAGATATAGATAGATTATAAACCAGCTGTGGAATTGTGAATTAATGTGGTTTGACAGTTCAGCTTATTTACATTTGGGTGGCATAGCAAATTGTAAACATTTGTGTGTGTTTAAAGGCAGCCATGGAGACCAATCAATATTTACTTTTAAAATACTCAACTCAGAACTTTTAAAGCCAAATATCAAAGTGTGAATAGTCCTATAATGGTCCTTGGCATGGTCGCTATATTTGTGTAAAATTTAAGCCCAGTCAGTTCAGTAGTTTATGTGCCTATTAGTAACACAAATACAGACAGACACCACTATATTTTTATATAATAGTATAGGCCCCTAGATATAGATTAGTAAGATATAAGTTTAGTTCGGCCGCTTAGAAAACGACCTGCGCGCTAATGCTAAACCAATGCTGGAGGAGGCCGCTTTCTAAGAGGCCGAACTATAGTATTAATAACTCACAGGACATATTTTCAATATAAGAAACCTTAAACTTTTGAAACAAATTATAAAACCTCAACATCTTATGTGGGAATTTTATTTTATAGAAAAACAGATCAAAATTATTTGTTAAATAAGTTAATTAACTTAAGACTGCCCAATTAACTCGGAATTACTTAAAATAATTACATCAAGAACAACACTGTAAGTTAATATCAGTTAGGTCCATCCAAAATTCAAAAGATTATTTTTTCTAGTATTTTTTATATATTTCTCCAATATCCTTTACATTATCTGTTTAACTTTTTTTTAAATTAATTTATTATTAAGGTAAGTAAATATTTACTTTTTGTACCAGTTTAAACACAGCCTGATGATAGTTTCCCTGAATAAAACAATTTATTATATATTGGCCTTGTTGAACATTTAAATTTAGTTATATACATTTAATTATTACTAATAAAATGTTGTATTAACCTGTTGGAGAGGATGTTAGTTTCTCAAGAGGCATAACTACAGGCAGTAGACTGTAGATCAATCCTGTCTTAGTGATAAGTCTTAAACAAACACAAACAACAACACTGGAAAGTTACTTGCTTGATGACACTGATGGGTGATGATGACAGTCAACACTATAACTAGTAACTAGGTTGGGTTAGATACTAAAAGTTCTCTCTCACTCAAACACTAGGCCTACTGGTCTTTCCGGTTCCTGGTGGAAATATGTGCGTGCGTGCAGTCTGGTGACAGAACCACTAACACAACACTCACTGACTGAGACTGACTAGTGAGTAGTGAGTGTCTACACTGGGGCCCTATTTTTGAAATGGTTGACAGTTGAGTCAATCGTCAGCACTCAACTCAACCAACAACATGATTTGGTATTTTTGAAACCCAACAGTTGGGAAGCGAGTTGGGAATCACTAGTTGAGAGACTCGTGGTGGAAATGTAGAGCATACGACCGTCAACAATTCAGATGACGTCATTTTGAACCAATCCCAATGCAGAGTTCTTGCGGACTTCGATTTAACCTCTTCTTACTCTAAAATCTGGCAGCTAATCTCAATCTGCCATATTTCGAGACACTGAGGTAAACTGTCAAGTGTCAACTCCGTTCTTGAGAGATTGAGATTGAGGTTATGTCTTGCTTAATCTTAGTGATTGCAAAGTACCTTAACTTAAGTAATAAACTAAAGTAAACTAAATAAAGTAATAAACTTAAGTATAAAAAATAAAATTTACTATGGATGTTTGTTTTAGGGTGTAGCTAATTATAAGTTTAGGCATAGGCTGCGCTGCACTTTACTTTAGGTCCTACACTCATCCTAAATACATTATTATTTGCTTTCTTCGTCTCTATTTCGGAACACATCACCTTATTTTAGTTTCCTTCATCGGTTTGTTTTATGTTATTTTTAATTGTTTTTTATTTAGGTTAAAGCGGCTATTTGCCATTGCACTGAAAGCATATCGTAACTTAAATTAATTTGATCCCTTTATTAGGTGAATGGTATTGAAAGAAACTATGATATTGTTTCTCTCTACCACAATCTTTAATACCTTAAATCATAGGTCTAATAACAATAATTATCTTATAATAAGTTCAATTAGTATGCCTAGTCTATTTCAAACATTCCAACAAGAATAAAACCCTTGATTAAATAGTCTAGTATTGACACAGTAAATAAAATTAAAATGCGATTATTCTACAGAAAACAATCGCATAATTGGGTGCTAATACATTGACAACAAATACATAACCTCTAAATCGCAATTAGTAAATTAAAGCAATAACAAAACAATATGGCGTCGCCTCAAAAAGAGTAATTTTTTGCCGAAAGAGAGGAAGAAGAAAGTGCAGTCAACCTCCACTCAACAGCTCGATAGGTGTTGAGTAGTTTTGGTTGTATAAGTCCACCGTCAACCGTTTCAAAAATACGAAACGATTGGAAATAGAATGACTCGACACTCAACTCAACAGTCAACAATTTCAAAAATAGGGCCCCTGGTCTGGACATGGACACTGACTGACGACAGACAGGACAGACTGACACTACTACTACTCGCTCCGCTCTGAGTCGCTCTACTATCAACAACTAACTACAACCACAGAATATCTAAATTCTGTGATACAACCCTACAACTACGTCGCGTCGTGACTATGATGTGTTTGATAATCAATATATATGACAATATTGAATATTAATTATATTATTGATCGTACAAATAGCAAACAACCAAACTATATTTCAAAATTCGTCCAATAACTTTGTCCAATCTACTCCTGTGGTTCCGTTTCAGTTTCACTCCCTCAAAGACCAAAATAATATTCTATTCATGATTCATCTCAATTTGAGATGAATCATGAATAGAATATTTTGGTCTTTGAGGCATACAATGACTGACTATGATGACTACCATTTCCAGTTGAGTCGTTGAGTCCAACCAACCATTGACTATTGGATGTATGTATTAATAGTCAAAGGTCCAAGGTCCGACCATAGATTAAACATACTCCCTACTTAGGGAGTATGTTTAATCTATGGTCCAACCCAACCCACTGAGCTATAATACACAATGGTCCAACCATGGTGGAAGTGGAAGAATTGGATTGGAAGGAATCACATCATGACTGGGATCGGATTCACAATCGGACCCAACAATGACACAATAATTACAAAACGAAAACACAACATCACATCTTATTCACCAGTGTTGCCAATTGCGGGGAAAATCCACTACATCACATACGTGTATGCTTGGTTATTTGCAGTTTGCACCTCTCTAGTAAAAAAAAGAAACCGTAGAAACGTATATTATCGTGTAAATATGGGTAAATTTCAAATTATTTTAATCTTGGATGCTATCGAGGATTTTGCGAGTAATTTTAGAATCCTTGCGAGGAAAATCGAGGATTTCCGTCCTTTCATGCGGGGAAAACCAAAGAGGTCGGTTGGCAACACTGTTATTCACATCTGTCAGTCACAGTAACAAGAACAAGACAACAAGCAACAAAACTTAACCTCCAAACCAAATCGTTCAAGTTCAAGTAGTTTAAATTACTAGTTAATTGTGATATTTGGATATTATTTACTGAAATTGATCATGAGTTTGAACAATTGGATGAGCCAACTTGACGAATCCTTAAAAAATATACCGGTAATTAATCTAGCTATTCCAGGTTAGTTTGAAATAACTTATCTACAAACTTGGTTATTAGTTTGTACTAGGCCTAGGCCTAATTGGCAGCCTAGGCCTATCTGAGAAGTAACTCATTGTGAATAGTGATGCGCAATTGCGAAAAAAGTTTCGAATGTTTGTAGGCCTACCTCTCGAGACGGTTCGATTGTAATTTTGCTTATCTTAGTGAGTGGTTTTTATCGAGATATTTGTGGCGATTGTTTCGTTTCAGCACGGCATGAACATATAATTTGTCTCATATTCGTCTAAAAGAGAGTCCTTAGGGTACCGGTACTGAGAGTTTTAAAGAGATGTTCATGGCGATTGTTTTGTTAAGTACGGCATTGGCAATTATTAGCATCCAATTTCTATTGTATCTGGCGGAAATTGACCCTCAATGAGAGGTATTTCTTACTTCAACACCGAGGAAGGTTTATGGATATATTAAGTTAGCCTACTTTATCTACGGGGTACACTTCCATATCTGTTGGCACAAACAACCGAATGAGTAATATTGATTATGCGATTGTTTAATTTGATATATCGTTTGGTTAACTTAGTTAGGTTAGATTAACCTTACCTAACTAACCAAACGATATATCGAATAATCGGTAATCGATCGATATTTTCATTCGGTTGTTTGTGCCAACAGATATGGAAGTGTACCCGAACAATCGGAGACTTCCGTATCTGTTGGCTCAAACAACCTAATGAAAATATCGATCGATATATCGAATGAAACAATCTAATAATCAATATTTTCAATCGGTTGTTTGTGCCAACAGATACAGAATTCTACCTGAAATCTAGAAAAATAATTAATATTATCATCCTCGTAACAGCTCCTATAAGTTGTAATATAGCATGGCAAGGCCACACTAAAAAAACAGGCCGTAATGCTCGCCAAGCATGACGTCACGATAGAAGACGGCTATGACGTATAAGTACCTATTTATTTATTTTCCAATGAAAGATTAAAACAAGCAGCTGATCACAAACGGCAAAATTACGTCATTGCCGTCTTCTATCGTGACGTCATGCTTGACGAGCATTACGGCCTGTTTTTTTAGTGTGGCCTTGAGCATGGTCACCTTAGAATTTAGACAGTGGTGCAGACTGCCGACAAAAGTTTTGGCTTAACACATGCAACAATCGAGAGAAACATTTTGATTGTACAAACCTCTCACTAAGTAATCGAAACAATCAATAAGCGGAACATCTTGAGATGGAACATTTTGATTGTTTAAACATCTCGCAATCGCGCATTACTAATTGTGAATCCTAATAAAAATAGGGCTGCACTTTAGTAGGCTATCTGTCCTACACTCATTTGAATGAATATATCGATTATTTCATTCGATACATCAAGTTTGGTAAGCTAGGTTAACCTAACCGAATGAAATAATCTATATATATCAATATTTTTCATTTGAACGAGTGTAGGACAGATAGGCTACTAAAGGGCATCCAAAAATAGAGATAGTTTCTATGACTGGAATTCTGACACTGCCAAGGTAAGCTATTTATCCTATTTTACATTGCAAATGTTGAGGAAGAGGTTTCACCAGCAGCAGCAAGCAAACCAGAACTTATGATTTTCAATTATATATAGCCTATTTATTTAGGGTTAAGTTCATTTGGGTATGGTTAAATAAGCTGGCACCACACTGGTACTAGCCTAACTAAGATAAACAACACTATCAATGAACCAACCCAAAGAAGAATAATTTATTATCATTCTTCCACAAAACCAAAGGTGACCTAAGTTATTTTAAGGTTGTTCCACTAAGTTATTCTCATTATATTTCTAGGATCCCATGATTCCATGAGCTATACCATTAAACCAACATCAGATATAGCACCTGACAATGAGCAAATTGTTCTATTATTGGCCAGAGTATTTGGAAGCCCTAGTCGAAGAGTGATTCACAGGTGGTGTGCGACACAAGAATTGACTCTGTTACAACAGTTAAACCTCGGCATCAGGTAACTTAAATTAATAATTGGCTAATAAATGAACTAAAGATCTTGCAACTGAAGGTCTAATACCACAATTTTATTGGAATGAGCCTGTAAATTAACATGGGTTGGTTATACGTAAGACATTTTAGTAGGCCCTACTTCAAGTGAATTAGTATTACTGGAAAAAAAATTACAAATGCCACATAGGCAACCCAAGCCAGTGGTGACTGCAGTGATAAGAGTAAAGGCTGTCTCATGTTAAGTTGAGGCAGACTACCTGACCAGAGAGTAGAGAAGAACAATGGCTAGGCCGGTCCTTCGACGGCCCCTCCCGACCCTTGGAGTAAATCCCATTAACAACGCTTCACAGAATACTTCACTTAAAAGTGTAAATATTAAAAGTCATAAATTGAAAATATAATCAATAATGTCATATCTGAAAATAATGTAGGCTATTCTAGATTATAGAAAACAAAATTTGTCATGTTCGTCCCGTGCAAATCGGCCGACTTTAAGTATTAAAACAAACTTTTCCCCTTATAACTAAGTACAATATTTAATTTTAAATTAGGTACTAATAATTGATATTCTGTATGATACTTTGTTCATAATATTTAGGCGGTTTCAGGGGAAGAAATCTATCACCTCCACTTGACCCTTACCTTTAAAAATAAGCATTTGAAACGCCGTTAATAATGTTTCCAACATGTGTTGGATCCAATTTACCATTCATTAATGTAATTACTTAACTTGTATCATTTTGAGTAATCCCAGAATTGATAATGTTACACAATGTACATATAACAGATCAATTAATTAAATATTATTCACCCTGTTTTTGCTTATTTTTCATGAGCCTTGTTCCACTATTTTTCTTTCGTACAACACTTTTTTACTCTTCGCATTTTTGCGCTAAACTTTCTCTATTAGGAGCTGCATCTTACAAAAAGTAGACCGGAAGTCATTTTTTCATAGGCTATATCTCCTAAACTAGTGTGTTTATGTAATTATATCTCGTATAAAAAAGTTTTTAAATTGCATGTTGCTATGTACTATGAAAAGAAAGTTGATTTATGTTTTAATACAAATTTTTATTCTGTAGCAAATTATTGTGAGTTAGCTTTTTCAGTGAAACAAAACAAAAACAAATTAATTTAAACAAAGTCATATGATAAATAAAAGAAATTAGGAAACAGTTGGTTGAGCACAGCACCTCTCCCCTAAGTTTTAGAATCACATATTCATTCTTGTAACCGGTTGTTTTTTCCTTGAGCTTCTTCTTAAAGACACATTGATCAAATAAGATCGGTTGGTTCAAATTCAAGCGGTGAGAAGGACGACAGGGACTACTTTATCAATATCAAACTTCCTCTAGGGTCTACAATTCAAGATGAAGAACTTCAGGGAGCAAATGATCATGTGTTCAACAACCATACTGAAGATGAAGCTCGCTTTAACCAACCTCTAGCTCCTCTACCAAACGGTGAAGCCTCAAACCCTGTCTTAAGAAGAAGCTCAAGGAAAAAACAACCGGTTACAAGATTGAATATGTGATTCTAAAAATTAGGAAACAGTTGGTTGAACACAGCACCTCTCCCCTAAGTTTTGGAATCACATATTCATTCTTCCTTGTATGAACTGATTTCGTAATGCTGTGTCGAGAAAGTTGCCAAAGTTGCAGTATCTTGACAATCCTTTCAATTCCGTTGCAAAGTGCTGTATGTCTTCACCTTCCTGTTGACGTCTATTGTGGAATTTGAAAGCTTCTGCTACTTCATTTGGTGGTGGTGAAAAGTGTTTGGTGAGTTGTTTAATTAAATCTTTAAACGAAAACTCCGTTGGCAATTTAGGTTGTAACAAATCAATAGTGTTCCATAAGTTTTCTTTCCAATAACATGTAGCAGTGTTATTGTCTTGTTTTCCTCAGAAATATTGTTGAATACAAAAGCTATTTCTAGTCTTTCTAGGTAGCTGTTCCATGTTTCTTCATTATCATCAGTCGCCATCTGCTATGTACTATGAAAAGAAAGTTGATTTATGTTTTAGTACAAATTTTTATTCTGTAGCAAATTATTGTGAGTTAGCTTTTTCAGTGAAACAAAACAAAAACAAATTAATGTAAACAAAGTCATATGATAAATAAAAGAAATTAGGAAACAGTTGGTTGAACACAGCACATGTTCTATCCGGTATCATGATAAACTATAGGGTTTTTATAAGAAATTTCAATTATTGCTTTAGCAAATTTTATATGATCCTTGTTCCACTTAAAAACTTTTGTTTCAAAACTGATTATTTTCCAATAACATTACTTTGTCTATGATATAAAATTGTAACAGGCTAAATAACTATCCTAAATAAATCCACTAACAACGATGAGCAGTGAGCAAAATCGAGTATTCTAAGTAAATAAGTGATGGAAGTGACTTTAGTGCACTCCGTCCTCCGAGCAAAGCCGAATCGCCGTCCAGTCCACTGACACAGTTCGTTCCATCGCCAGTGCTAATGCGGCGTTGCCATACATTGCTTAGCGCCTGGCGATGGTTCGGCAACACCGCGCCCGCGCCGTGAGTCACTATCGACCGATACATGCCTGTGACGTCTAGACTGCCACGCACGTAGTTCAACAAATGTCCGCTCCACTCCACGCGTGCTAGTGTGCCAATTTCGGAATTCTTCTTTTACTGGGACCCACTCTTAAGGACGAAATGCACGTTTAAATTTATTTTTTTCAGGGTCCAAGGGGGAGGGGCTTTAGCCCCTGTAGCCCCCCCCTTGGAACCGCCACTGATCAGGCCAAACCTACCACAGTTTGTACATGACCGACAGAGTAAGCAGATTGGTAATTATGGCGGTTAAGTAAAACAAGAGTTTTATGTGAAGGCCAACCTGTGATTGTAAGAGACTATAGGGGCAGGAACAAATGGATTTCAGGTGTAATCGTAAAACCTCTAAGCACTGTGTCTTATTTAGTAAAGTTGGAAAATGATGTTATTTGGAAACGTCATATTAATCAGATAATTGGGTTAAATAGTGGTATTACAACAGCTGTACCCGGAGGTAAACTTAGATTCGCTGCCAAAGGTATCAGCTGAGTTATATGAGAGGGGGAAATCAGCTGTGGAAATCACCCGACCTATACCCTCTCCACAACATATGAGTCCAACAATAGCCACTCCCACCAGCTCCAACAAACGCCGCTCCAGTTCCTTTTCTCCCCGCCCCTCCAGTTCCAGTAACCGTCATTCCACCTCTCCACGTGTACCTGACCACAGACAAGGTGACGTCATTTCCGCACCGAGCCCGCAGCGGGCAGTAACAGCTGATGATAGTAAACAATCACCTGTCAGATCTGAGCGTAAGTACCCAGTCAGGGAACATTAGTTAAACTTGTAAATATTATTGTTACAATCCATATAGTTTATTATGTACTGTGTTTTGTTATTTGTTTAGGAATATTTTCCCTCATTTTATGTGTTTACATTGTATTAGTTGTGTGTACTATTGATTTGATTACCGTACTGTTTATGTTTTTGTAATGTCTAATCCACTGTAGATGTTCATGTTTAAACTTTTAAAATTATTACTTTTATGTCAAAAAGTTAAGGGGGAGGAAATATATAATAATATGGTAATATATGCATATTGATTTATAACATTTAATATTTGTATTGGCAACAGTGCTGTAACGTATAGTTCATTTGAATAAATTAATACCGTTGGTTGAACATTAACCAATCACAGATAGCGTCCTATTCCCCACCTGTCCTGCATGATGCTTCTCCTCGGCCTCAGTTGCCCGCTACCTACACCGGCTTCACTATGTAACGCTCAATCGCTCCTTTAATGTCAACCGGCGGTATTCAGTTCATTACAATGCGCCTTCTTATTTTACCCCGGTCTTACAAGTGCTATAAGTAGTGTTAAGAAGTAGTTCAGTGAGTACGAACATTACAATAACAACTATTTTCGTTGGGTTGTGCTGCTTGTGACAATTGATGTGCGAAAAGCATTTAACTCCGCAAGGTGGTGCAATATGCTGGGTGCTCTAGGGAACACCTTCCACGTCCTGGCGTACCTCATGCGCATCATATAGGACTCATATAGGATCATATAGGATCTTCGGTTTCCCCTCCTCATTTATGACACTACAGAAGACCTCCGGACGATGACTGTAACTTCTGGTGCTGCTCAAGGATCCATACTCTGAACGTCGCCTATGACAGCCTCCTGAGGTCTGAGATGCCTGAGGAAACTCTGTTAGTTAAATATGCAGATGACGTTGTGACTTTAATAGCTGCACGTAGCGTTGAGCTTGCCCAGCTGAAACTAAACCGAGGTCCATGCGCACCATTAGCGCATGGATGGCAGATCAAGGGCTCTCGCTCGCTCTGAGCAAAACTGAGATTGTGATTTTAACTAAAAAGAGGATTGACACCATCGTGCTGTAGAGGGTGTGGAATATTGAAGTCCAAACCGCTCGTGCCGCCAAGTACTTTGGGGTCATGGTGTACAGCAAGCTCAGCTAGCGAGACCAGATCATCCGTACGGCGGACAAGGCCGCTAAGGTGGTTTCTTCCCTTAGCCGGTTAATGGCCAATGTTGGAGATCCACGGTCCAGCCGCAGAAGGCTGTTGATGTCTGCGGTCCAGTCCGTACTCCTGTACGGTGCGGAAGTGTGGGCAAATGCACTCAACAAGGAGGTGTACAGGATGCGGCTCACTTGAGTGCAGCGTCAGGCAGCACTCAGGGTGGAATCCGCATACCGAACAGTGTCCAAACCCGCCATCCTGGTGATTGCTGGAGTCATCCCCGTCAAACTTTTGGCGGCAGAGAGGAAGGCATTATATCAGCGGCGTGGAGAGGACCAGGCAAGAAGTGAGGAGCGTGCCCGCACCTTCAAGTTCTGGCAGGAGAGCTGGGAGCAGGAGACGTGGGGACGGTGGACCAAGCTACTGAGTGGTTTTTTAGTGAGTAGTCTGTTCTTCTCAGGAGTCTCACACTACAGGTTGGCCACCTGTGTGTGTGGATGTATTGTCCCTCCTCTCCCTAAAAAAACTTTGGATTTTATGAAAAAAGCAAAAAAAAGTAATTGGGATGTATAGATAATTGTATTTTTTCCTTGCACACAAACAAAAAATGCCCTTTTTTACCTCAGCAGACCCGTCATTGGTTGCTGTCAATATGTCTTGTCGTCACGGCCTGTGTCAAATTATCGAGGTCCTACTGTATATATAATATTTTTACTGAATTTGTAAACATTTTTAGGGTGATGCCCTTAAAGTTTACATTATTATTATTATGACTTTTCAGAAACAGTGAAAATAACATGGTACCAATCAGTAGGCTTACTTACACCACTTTGTTTTTCAGATATCTGGATTTGAGAATATCCACAAAAGAGGGTGATACAAAATTGTATGCTGTCCACGGTCTGTACGGTGATGAAATATACCCTCATCTCCAAACATTAAACAATTTCCTAGAAGAGTTCCCTGAAGAAATAATAATACTGGATTTTCAACATTTCTACAATTTTAGTGATGAGACTCACGAATTGTTGATATCAATGATTAAAAATACTTTTGGAGGCAAGTTGTGCCCTCTGCCATGGGACATAATGACAGTGACACTGACGTGGATGTTGGATCATGGATACAGAGTTATTGCTATCTATCGAGACGGATTGGTGGAGAAACATGCGGAGTTGTGGCCTGGAGTGAGATGGCCTACGCCGTGGCCCCAGACTACCAATTCTGACGCCCTACTAAAATTCCTCAACAAGACAATGGCACATCGCCCCAAGAACGCCGGTTTTGTCACCCAATGTCTTCTCACACCCGATACCAAGGTAGGATCATTACTAAATGTTATAAGATAACGGTTTAAGTGAGTTTAATTTTTAACCCTCGAGCGGGTACTTAGCCTTTAAACGGGTATTACAAGAGAGCATGCAGAGATTCCATCTCAAGTGAAGCAATTATACTTAAATTAGGAACAAATTTATTTGTTAATCAATTACTCATGTAACTGGTAAAAAAACACTTTTAGGAGATTTGGGCGCATGCTGAGAAAACCTCTGTAACTTAACTGCACTCTCTCGAAACTCAGATTAAATCTAGGTGAAGGGTGGGTGTAAACAGAGGAAATCAAGTAGGGGGCCAGACACCACTGGCGCACCCCTCCCGGACGGGCAAAATCGTGACATAGAATGGGAAAAAATTATAGGAAAAAATAAAAATTAATTTTGTTATTTGTGTTTTGTTTTACAAGTATACATAAAAAAAACACAATGGAACACTTCATACTGTCAAAATAATTTTTTACTCGTTTTTGACTATGCGGATATATCCGCTACCCGTCCGCGGATGAGTAGAAAAGCAGCGGATATCCGCCACCCGTCTTTGAAGATATGACCATGACAACGTTGGGCAATAAATAAAGAACAATATGTAAACAATAAATAAAGACAACGTAGTGTTGAGCGCGAAACGACGAGGGGGGAGCGTAGGAGAGGGGGGTGGTGCGCGGGATAGGGGAAGGCGCGGGAGAGGGGAAGGGACGAGAGAGGGGGGAGTGTGGGAGAGAGCGCAGCCATGGAGAGAGGCGCCTTGGTACCGCGAAATATCTGGTTACTGCTCAAGCACCTGCCAGTCTGTCTGAAAAAGAGGCGGTTATATCCGCTTCCCGTCCGGAACATCAAAATCCATAAGCGGATATATCCACCACCCGTCCATTATCGCCAAAGACTTAGGCGGATATATCCATCACCCGTCTGGGAAGGGTTGTGTTTTTTTTACGAAATCTTTACGAGCGAATCTAAACTCCACTAGCGTTCAATCAATCAATCAATCAATCAAATATTCTTTATTCACAAAGTTTAGACAATATGTCTTGAATAGCGTCATTAAACTAACATAAACAAAAAATTATAAACTAAATAATTAAAATCATTCACAAAGGATTTATAGTAAAACTAAAAATGAGTGCTATAACTTTAAAAAATCACAAAATCTTAGAAGGTTACGTTAGAGTAAAACTAGGTAGTAACTGGAATTCAAATGGTCGTTTCGAGATTACAATTTAAAAATTCTTTGATGGAATAAAATGGGTTTCTTATCAACAAGTCTTTTAGTAGGCTTTTGAATCGGTTTGTATTATTTTCTTTTTTAAGTGAAATCGGTAATTTTTGAAGAAATTTTAAGCCTGCATATGAAGGTTTTTTGGTATAGAATTCTAAATTATGTCTAGGAAGGTTAATTTGAAAGCGTGTGTTATATTTACTTGCAGTGGATAATAAATGAAATTGTTTTGCATAAATTATTGTCTCATAAATATACAAACTGTAAACTGTTAATACACCCAATTCAGGAAAGATATTTTTAACTGAATCTGTTCTTTTTAATTTCATGATCACTCTAATAGCTTTTTCTTGTTTTATAAGTATTTTATCCAAATTTGCCTTAGTTGTTGCTCCGTAAATGGCGATTCCATAGGATATGTGGGAATGAATTAGAGAATAATAGATTATCCTAAGAGTTTCCAAGTTGCAAACCTTGGACATCAGCCGCAAGGCATGAATGCCAGATGATAATTTATTTACTACATAGTTTATGTGATTATCCCAAGATAGATTTTCATCAATAACCAGTCCCAGAAACTTTGTTTGGTTTACCTGATCAATTTTGTCTGTTTTTATAAAAATATTAGGTTCAAATGCTGTTATTGATTGTTTAGTTGAAAAGGATATTAGATTTGATTTTGTTGTGCTGATAAGCAGATTTCTGTAATCCAAAAATTTTTTATAGAGAGGAGACTCCTGTTTGAGGATTTTTCAATAGTTAAATTGGATTTTCCTGAAAACAAAACATTAGAGTCATCAGCATACAGACACATAGATCCATCACTGACCGGGATCATCTCTGGTAACCCCTTAATGTAACAGAGGAACAAAAGAGGCCCCAAGATCGATCCCAGGGGTACTCCATATCGTAGTGTCTGCCGCTGAGATCTAAAGTTTTCAATATATTTAGTATTTCTTTTCTCTATTACGTAGTCCACTTCAACAAACTGTTCTCTGTTTTCTAAATATGAAGTGAACCACCGTAATTCTTTTCCTATTATTCCTAATTCATTTAAAATATTTAATAGTTTACAATGTGAAACGCTGTCAAAAGCTCTACTAAGGTCTAAAAATATTCCAACTGCTTTATCACCATTATCTACTGAATTTATAATTGATTCAATAAAATCTATACCAGCTGTTATTGTAGATTTTCCTGGTCTAAACCCGTGTTGCTCCTTATCAAACACTTGATTCGTTTCAAGGTAATTAAAGAGCTGAATATAAACAAAAATTTGAGAGTTAATAATTTTTTTTCTCTTGCAACGCTTGTATTATATTCTGGGGGTGGCATGCATTGTCATAACTATATTTTCAGAGGTATCGGAGATAAAACTTAAATTAATTAAGTAGAATAATTTAACCTGTGGTTAATTGTAAGTTTGCTTACCTCACACAATACTTTGTTATCAGTTTGTAATACATCATCCGTGTGGAGAGTTGAGATCTAAATGCTCCAAGCCTTGTTTGCAAGCAGTAATTCCGTGGCTCAAACAGCAACGCCCAGGCCTACGAGGAATCAACGTTGTCATTACAGACTTTGTCGAAATGGGCGGCGACCTCTTCAGCAAGGTCGTCATTGGGTTGAATGATCTCCTATTGAAACCTTAGTTAATAATTAGTTTGCGTAGCTCTACTCAGTCTATACTAAAATGCAAGTGAGAATGCTTTAAGCACTGTGTCTGTGATTGTAGTGGTACATAAATGCTTTGAATGAAAAATGCTATGTTTTAGAATGGTACAAGGCACTAACTCTAAGAAACCAAGATAATTAAAACTCTTTAACAATGGCTTTTTTTAACCTTAAAGAAAAATAACTGTGAGCAAAAAAATACTTAAATTTGTTAATCATGATATCACTTCACAAGAGTATACCGTGGTAAAAATGAATTAGACATAACTAAATAGTTCAGAGTTTAGTGGGATTTTGAAGTAGGCTTTATTTAGCTCCTGTAGCTTCTAAACAAGCCATTACATTGGCTTTATTTATTTATTTATTTATTTTATATAAATAAATAAAAATAAAATAAACATTGGCTTGAGGATATTCTGTTTATATGTATCGGATATTCCCCTCCAACCCCCCTGGGTTCCCTTTTCCCCTACGTCAGAAATCCAAAAACTATTCAAATCCACAAATAAAAATCAGGAATTAAGATTTCACAAACATTTGGTATTTAAAAATTGCTAGTTTAAAACCGAAACCACATTTGTTACGTTAATCAGGTGAATTGTGATTGTACAGAAAATATTTTATGTAACAAATATGTACTGCCTTGCTGCATACTACCTACTCAGTACTACTGTTTTATATAGTGCTCACCGCGTCTGTTTGGATAGTGAAAATTAAGGAACTGGATTAAAAATATTTTAATTTTCCATCAAACCATCAAAATTGCTCCTGCAAACCACCAGTTGGTACGACTTACGGCCCTTATTTTGGAAACCGCTGTAGTTGGTGGTTTGCTTACCCTGTGCTTAACCGCTAGAGAAATGTTAGACCTACATAAAACAAAATATATATTCAACAGTACCGTTGGGCTTAATTGTTATAACAGGGTTGGGGTGTTGGAATTAAACATTTAAGTTATTTTGAAATGAAATAAAATTAAAAATGTATTTATTTAACCCTTTCGATGCTAGAATATTTGTATTGTAATTTTCCTAAAAAGTACTAGAGTTATTTAATTATTTTGTCCTAAAAATGCTAGGCTTGCCACAGGGGCAAAGTCTAGTGCGAGAAAAAAATCGGCAAAAATAAAATTTTTATCTTAAAAGTGCTAAGGAATGATATATTGTGCCTCGATCGTATGAGGAATCGAAAGAAACCATTGCGTTTTCGAAACTACAACCGAGACAACCGATATGTCCATTTAAACTCACAGGATCTAAAGACGCACCGGCACGATATATCGTCGCTTAGCGCTTTTGGATGAAACGCTAACAACAATATATCGTTGCATAGCACTGAAAGGGTTAAGAGGAAAAGTTAGGACTTGAAAGTCCTCTCTACCACTTAACCTCTAAAACATAAATAAAACTATTCACTTATATCAATAAATTTAAATAATCTAAAGTACTATATTAAATGACAATGATATAAAAGATAAAATCAAATATTCTATCTTTTATTTTATTTCATCACACCAGTAGTTAATTCTAGCTTCAAGCAGAGTTTTAGAAATATATACATTTGATTTACATTTATTCATAGTTTTAGCATTTACGTTGTGAACAAATCACCACAAATTGTGATACATATTAGTCGTGAATACATAATAAATCTATTCATTGCTCTCTATAATTTTCTCCTTTTTTTACTCTATGTACTAGAAGTCAATAATAAGGAACAATAAATCGATTTTTATAGGTCATGTTAGGCACCTACAGCAGGTATGAGTATTTTGTGTGTGTGAAGCTACTAGTCCTTTGTTTTATTGGTTGTTGACAAAGTATAATCATAGACTAACCAACACAAGTAGACTTCTCATCCCATTGTAAATTTTGAAGCACGTTTTTTGTGTCTAGTTCATGTACGTGACACAAAGGCGCTAGTGTCGATGAAACTTTGTTTCCATTATTTTAGGGTTAATTTCTTTATTTGTGCTTTACTGTTTGGTTATATAACTAGGGGACAAGTTATTGTTTATGATTAGATCGTATTATTTGGTTAAACGAGGTTTTAAATGGCTGTAATAACGGGAAACAAATTGTAAACAAAACACGACCTCTACATAAACCGTACATGAACTAACAATAAAATTGTCTTCAGCTGTTCCATAAGGATGAGAAATCTACTAAGGGAGTATGTTTTATCCATGGTATAATCATGATGGAATCAGATATATGACTGATGTATCAAAAAATCAATGTATAACAAGCACTCTCTTACGTCATGTTACTTACTAGCTAGTACAATAGTCATATCATGTTATTTTGAGAATAAAAACGTTTTAAAAGATTTCAACAACAAATAGGCTTAATAAATTATGTTGTTACTTGTTTTAGACTATCTTGTCTCAAAGAGTATTGATTTCTTAGTACAGTAGCAACAAAGTGGTTCCTAAGGTTAAAATGTCATTCTGCTTTAGTTGGTTGTAGCCTATATTGTTATGTATGCACAACATTTATTTTTGATTGTCTATTCATTTTATTTTAGTGATAAATGAATCTTCATTTGATCCGACCTGTATTTCTTGCTCTGCCTCAGTGCATTACATACAGTGGAACCTCAATAACAAGTGCCAATTCCAAATATTGATTTTATATTACCTCTTTTATATATATCCTCACATGCTACTGTAAACGTCTATAAGAAATCAACTTTGTTTGGAATTAAGTTTATTTTATAATTTCCATTAGACACTTGTTTATCAAGATATCGAGGTTCCATTGTATATTATATTGTGTAAATCAAAGACTGTCGATGCTAGTATACACAAATAAATCATACTGAAATAGCTAACAAAAATATAAGGCTTTGTACTCAAGTTAATCTTGTATTATCGACTAACTAGTTTTAAATCAAGTGTTATTTAATCAGTATTTTTAATATATTAGTTTGATTTACAAATCTAACAAATGCAGAATTTAGAGAACTATGATTTCAGGTCGGAATTTTTGTATTATACTGTCAGCACAGTATATCTTATATGGATTTCTATTCATTTAAATCATTGATCTGGTCTTATGCTGGACAGTGGTCATGTCTAGGATCTCTGTTCCTCTAAATGTGCCAGTATACACTTAAAGAGCAATCTATAACTTTATACTACCAACAGCTTTCATAAAGTATTTTAAAAGTTCAATTTTAATTTTAAGAATCGTTGATTATAAATTGTCTAATTCCTAGTCTTGTTATTTAATATGTATTGAAGTGTTTATTTAATAAATGTCACACGTTAAAAGCATCATTCTTAACCCTTTTCTAAATACAGGGTAAGTAAAACAAAACCCTCATAAGGGTAAATTAAGTGCAATGTGCCTGTCCAAACATGTCTAATATTAATGTATACATAGCCTCATCTACGTTATTAATACGCTACATGAAACTTAGTAAACATTAAGGCTTTTTGTTTTAAGATTTAACCCCAAATATTATATACCAAACAAAATGTTTGTCTAGGTGTGTAGATTTGCATACTGACTCTGTTAAAATGAAATATTTACTCTCTGAATTTGGGTTAGCGTAAAAACTACAATGGAAAAAGCGAGAAAGCCTGGACAGTTTGGTATACTAAAAAGAGAACTGAATTAACTCTGTGCTACATTTCTTGAGTAATCACTGAAAGAGCCGATTTGCAAACTATGGAAACATAGGAAAGTCATAGAACACCACCGAGTAGAAGAAATAGAAATATATTTTTTTTTTTTAATTTATAATCGTTATTATGGACAACCTATGAGTGGGAAACATTTGTAGAAAATACTATCAATAAAACAAGATCAGCTTTTGAAAAATGATAAGATATTTACAAGAAACGTTGATTATATTGAACTGTATTGTACATCGTGAGTATTTTCATAATATTTGAGCCGACTCAATCTTTTAAAGTCATCGGAAATTATGACTGTTATTCGTTTTAAATTGTCGCCTATAATACTTCGCAAGCTTGAATTCGAGCAACAGGTACACTAGTTTTGGTTAAGAGTCAACTTAGGAAATTCACAATAGGAATAGACCTTTTTGAAAGAGTGGTGACAGCTGATTTTACCACACTCCCCCACATTTATTATACCACACTCCCCCAGCTGACTTAACAATCAAAGTTGTGTTGACACCTACTGCTATCAAGCATGTTAACTACTACTACTGTTTGTGTATCGTACATAATCAAACCAGTCTTTATCTACTTACAATATGTATAATTCAGTTTTAAATTAAAATCATTGTAAAACTAAATCTTTAAATTTAGAGTTCTACTGGACCGATTTTAATTAATGGGTTGTTGGAAAGCTTTATTTGTGTGGATTTGCAAATAATTATGTAAGTTTGTTTTTGTTATGATTTATGGTGTTAAATTAAGAATAACATAAGAAATACGTTGAAAACGGTTGAGTTTTCACATTTTTTATTTGGAGGCAACTTTGGCTGCCTTTTGTGAGTGTTTTCAAATTCAAATTCAAATTGTTTATTTGGCCATTAAACATTATATAATAGGCTAAGTCAATACATAATTCAATAAAATAAAAATAAAACCATCATCAGAGATTGGTTAACATATAAAATCAAACCATGCTTAGTTCAAGTCAAATAGCAGACAAAATAAAAAGTAAAATAAATCAGATTAAAACCATGCACATTTGGGAAAAAAAATCAAAAAGCAGTTAAAAAAAGCACACACCATGCATTACCTAATTACAGGTGGACCTCTCTAGAGTCAAATAAAGGTGTTTCTAAGAGACAATTACTTAGAAAGGCTTTGAATTTTGGTAAATCAAGAGGCAGATGATTAAAATACTTGCAACATGTAACAGGATAACTATTAAATGATTTACTCATAGTCTGTGCCTTACAGTGAAAATATCAAACCTATTTCTAGTGTTATGGCTATGTACATGCTGATTTCTAGGTAGGTTCATTGGACTTAATTTCTAGGAGACATTGAAAAATATATACATTATATACAGTCATGACTTTGTTTTGGAGAAACAGTGGTTTGGAGTGCGCGAGATACTGGGCTCCACTAAGTGCCTTCATCGCTTTCTTTTGCAGAACCAGAATTTAGGCGAGTGACCCCAGAGCCTCGTTCCGTAGATAATAATGGAGTGAAAAAAAGCAAAGTAAGCAACACGAATGAAATCTTTTGGCAGGTAAAAACTCAGTCTTCTCAATAAAAATATAACCCTGTTAAGCCTACAGCACAGCGACTCAATATGATCTCCCCAGTCAAGGTGAGGGTCCAGAGTAAAGCCCAGCAGCTTTACATGGTCAGTGCACTCAGCAGACTTTCCCAAGCTAAAGGTGATTGCCTGAGTCTTGGATTCATTGATGAGGATCAATTTGTTAACATTGAACCAGGCAGTAGCAGTAGAAAGAAAACCCTCAACTTTGGTTTTTGAGAGCTTCAAGTCAGGATCTTTGGCAAACAAGGTAGTGTCATCTACATAAATAATAACATTACCTTACACTTCATAGTAGAGATCTTTAATGGTCACCAAAAACAAGAAAGGGCCCAATATGGAGCCCTGAGGGACACCATATGATTTACTGCCAAAGGGGTGGAATTTCTACCATTCCAACATACTATCTGCTGTCTATTGCTAAGGTAAGATCTGAGTACATCGAGTGCACCACTCTGCAGGCCATATCTTTCAAGTTTCATAAGAAGAATTTGGTGAGAGACACAGTCAAAAGATCGTGAAAGATCACAGAGCAAGACGGAAGTGTTTTGTTTGGTTTCAAAGCAATCAAGCACTACCTGAAGAAGGGAGTCCACTGCCGAAACAGTGGATCTGCCCTTCCTAAAGCCGTACTGCGCAGGCACAAGCAGGTGATGGACTTCAAAGTACTCATACAGTTGTTCCAGCATAACAGCCTCAAACACCTTTGCCAGAATGGGAATTATAGCTATAGGCCTATAACTAGACAAGTTATCATGAGATCCCTTTTTATAAACTGGTACAACTCTGGAGATTTTCAACGCGTCAGGAAATACCCCCTCATACAAACAGGTGTTTATGATGGTAGCCATGGGAGAAGCAATTACATGAATTATACCCTTAAGTAGTTCAATCGTCATGTCAAAATAATCTTTACTCTTTGACAGTTTGAAGCTATGCGCAATGTTAATGATAGCAGTTGGCGTCACAGGCCTCCAAGAAAAGTTAAAAGGTACAATTGGGACTGATTTAAGACTATTTTCTAGATTATCGGTACTAGTACTTGGCGTTAGGGATGTGCTACAACCCCCTATGAGTTCCTCTACAGAATTTACAAAATATTGATTAAATTCTTCAGCTTGGGCAAAGGTTTTGCCACTAACAGCGGGCTTTGATTTGGTGGCTTTAATAAAATCCCAAGCTGCTTTACAAGGATTTGCTGCATTGGAGATAGAAGCAGCCACTGAAGCCTGATTAGCCTCTTTTACTTTTGTTTTGTAATTTGTTCTTAAATTCTTTAAATGAGGAATTAGAGTAGGGTTGTTCTTTGACAGATCACTTACAAATATAACCAAATTCCTTAACCTAGATAGTTCAGGACCAAAACAGTCAGAGGAGTGTGTTTTTATATTGCCATTAACAATACCTGCTTGAGAAGTTTTCCTCAAGAGGAATGCACAAGTCAAAGGCATGATTTAAGTTGTCAAATAAACAATGAAAGGCCTCATTAGCAGTAAGGTAGGGCAAAGTCTCGCTCGCACCATAAGTCAATCAATATGCGTTGATACCATATCATTGAAATACTGGACATTAGAGGGGTTGAATACTCTAAAACTAACCTCAGAGCTAGAATTGGTGTCTAGTCTGTTTTCAGCAATAGTACCACAGGATTCAGTTTCAATGGAAAGGAAGACATGCTGGTGATCTGCAATCTGTTCCCGGCTGACAGCTGCTTTGTAGTTCCAGCGATCAAAATTGGAGATAAATGTGTCCAACGAAGCTTTCTCTCTTGTAGGTTAAATTATGGTACAGAGTAGAGATTATAACTACGGAGTAAATTTAAAAAATCGGTGACCTCGCTTGAATGCCTTAACAAGTTTATGTTATGGTCTGTGCCGATAATCACAAATAGTCCTAATAATGTCAGAAGATATTCGAGACACAGTTCTAATAAGTTAAAAAAAGTGACCACATTGCCACTTATGGTGATCTATACATGGTAACTACAACAGTTGAGAGTTCATTAATCACCACACCAGCAAATTCCCCATGCATTTCTACAGAGAATTTTTCCAGATCAAGAGGTTTACAGTTGAGTTTATTGTTAACATATAGAGCTACACCACCCCAGGGACGGGAGCGACAGAAGTAGGCTACCAGGTTTAGATTGGAAATAGTATTATAGAGACCTTAATTCATTCATGCATTAAAGAAATGCATAGTATCAATTTGTTTGTAGGAAATTATAATCTCTTTCAGAATATCACCTACTTTGGTCGATTTCCTCACAATTTAAAAGTTATTTTCATTAAAGCTAAGCAGACACCGAATTCATAGAAGTGAGAAAAAATGACATAGATACCGGTAAGTTATTAGCGAATTTCCCATAGGGAATAAGCTATTTCCGTTGTACTCATACGTGCGTGGAATTCCTCTGCAATGGCTCAGGTCATATTTAGTTGGCCGTAAGCAAAACGTTGAGGTTGACGCAGAATGCTCTTCCGAACTCGCCGAAGTGAGATATGGTGTCCCTTAGGGCTCTATCCTTGGACCTCTGCTTTTTATTCTTTATATAAATGACGTCGGTGCCTATGTTTGTCCTAACTCCTTAACGCTGTATGCAGATGATACCACCATGCTTTTTAAGGGCTCGTCTGAAGTTGTTCAAGAGAACATGTGTTCAACAATTAAAAATTTTGATAACTGGCTTTTAAATAATAATCTTCTTTTAAATCAGAATAAAACTAATTATGTCCAATTCCTAACAAGAAACAAAAATCCACTGCATCTTAAACTACCACAATCTTCAATAAAAGAACTTTCTGAAGTCAAGTTTTTGGGCGTTGTTATGGATTCTCGGCTGACGTGGCAATCACATATTTCAGATCTTTGTGGTCGTTTAAGCAAGGTGAGTTTTGCCTTGAGAACATTGGTTTCTTTGCTTGATCAGAGGGACCTGATTAATGTTTACCATGGATGCTTTCAGTCTGTTATATCATATGGAATAGAGGTTTGGGGAGGTTCCACACATGCAGACAACGCATTTACGGAACAGAAACGAGCCGTTCGTATTTTATCTGGTCTCCCATCCTCGCACTCTTGTAGGGGTGTTTTTCGAAATCTTAACATACTCACACTTTATTCTCTATATGTTTTTAAAGTGGTTCTCTTCATCAAGAATAAAATTGGGTCTCTTCCTGCTGTTGGAGATAGACACAGGTATCCCACCAGACATGGCTCAGATCTCCTTCTTCCACAAATCCGCCTGTCCCTGTCTGAAAGAGAAACTTTTACAGCGGGTATAAAGATGTTTAACCGTCTTCGAACCAGCATAAAGGAATGTTATGGCGAAAGAAAGTTTAAAAATGTTTGAAATCCTACCTTGTACAAAAAGAACCGTACAGTTTTATAGAATTTATGTCTGGCTGATTGTATCTTTTTTTGATATGTCTATCTTATTTATTAAATGTTATTATTTTAGTTCTTATTGACGACTGAGATGTATAATTGTAAAAAATTGTACCTATTCAGAAAATAAATGACTTATGACTTATGACTCATGGTAAGACCTGGACCTGGGACCGATTTTTTTTTCGTTTTGAGGTCCCTAAAGGCCAAAAACACCATCCATTCAAATATATATATATATGTATATATTTAAATATATAGGCCTACCTATATATATTTATATACCTATATATATTAATATATATACTAGCTATGTGCCCGTTCTACGTACGGGGATCTTAGTAGTCAGTTGAATGTGACAAAAATCACACAATGTTGGGTTTTTGGACATTTGTAATTTTACTTCTTAAAGTAGGTAGGCCATGCCATGTATTGTATGGAAAAGTACTGATGGTATCAAGGATCGTCGTCGAAAAGGTTGTTAGATTAATAAAATAGGTAGGCGTACGTACAAGAGATGGACTATGGGCCTATTTGCTGTATGGTCCAGCATTACACGGTGAGTAGAAACAGAAAGTGACACATTGGAAAAGCGGGGTTAGCACCATCCGTAAACCTCTGTTACAATCACCCACTGCAGTTGTGATTTTTTTACTTTACACTTTACACAATCACCATTGAAACGCCGTCAACTAGTGGAAACCTTGTTTGTAAGCTATTGGTAATTGGTGACGATCATTAAGTGTACCAGCTATATACAACACTGATTCAGGGTCTTTTTTCTGGTTATCAAAACTGAAGAACAATACTTGTGTGAACCTGGCAATAACTTGGCAATAACTAGTGCGCGCGCCTGATAAATGCGAGTAATATTACCGATGATGCCAACAGATAGAGGACACTTTAACGGACTAAGCTAGATCCTTAAAGATTTATATTCAATGGTACTACTGAAAATGAATCTACATAGCCATTTAGCATTAAGCCAAGCAAAGGAGCCAAAAGCAAGAAGAAGAACCACCACACAATCAAATCAAAGCTCAAAGCAACGTTGAGGTTGAGGTTGAGTCTTGAGTGGTTGAGTTGAGTTGAGAGTGGTGGCTGTGGGTTGAGTTGATCGAGTTGTCCTGTTATTTCGTTTCACAATTTTTCTTATTTGGTTTAATGGAAATAATTTGTATTATTTATAATTTCATTCTAAATTTCAATCCATTTTATCCACGTATATGTGAAATTTTAAATCTGCTGAACGCTAAACATAATGGACATTGAAGAAGGTGAAATATTAATTTCAGATGTTTCATCTGATGAAGACAAAGAGTGTCAACCTCAACCTTGCAGCCGTGATAGATTTCGTGTCCTACAAGATAGGCCTTTTTATCGTTATCACAATATCTCCCAATCAAATTCTATTTCTTCACCCCAAGATTTGAAGAGGCTACACAATTGCAGCGAGGATAGTTTTTGCCGTAAAACATTTAGGGTCTGTCTGGTAAATCCAACTTCTGAAAGACAGTACAATAACAGGTTTAGAAATAGGCGTGGATCTATCAGAGATGGTGAGTGTTTTTGTGCTAATACACCATTTAACATTAAGTTTCAACAACTAAGACGGTAGGCTTGGCCTATTGCATGTTTCGGCAAAACTGATCTAGGCCTAGGCCTAGCTTGATTGGATTATCGAACAATAGCCTAGGCCTAGGGCCTAATGTTAAAGCTAGGCTAAGTTTAGGCTTCTAAGTTAATACCACTTCTGTGAAGCTGCCAATAACTAGTGCATGTGTGTGTGTACTTGAGAGCGTCCTGTGTTTAGGGGGGGGGGGAGAGAGGAGAGGTTGTGGGCATTGAACTGTAACTCTTGAGCTCGCGGTTGGGGGGGGGGAGGAAGAGAGAGAGATGCAATTCATTTTAATAATGTCATCCGGTCGGTAACTTAGTGAAGATTATTGGAATTGATATGTTTCATTAAGTTAGTTAATTTTAGCCTATTTGTTGTTTTTTTTTATAGGCCGTTTTTCCCTTTTTTGGGTAATTTCCGGTCTTTTCCGAAAAATAAAAACGTCATTCAAGGGACGCCACTATGTGCGTATTTTAACCCAAATATGAGTGTAGGATGAGTGGCGCTATCTTGTAGTCTTGGACTAAGGCCGACATGTTCCTTAGACACAGCTGTTAATTAATAGCCCATACAGCTAATGGCAACTAAGGGACCTACAGTTTATTGTGGAATCCGAACCACATTTTTTCCACATTAGCCTAATTAACAAATTGGTCCAATTATTAGGATAGTACTGGGAATAGTCGTAGTACTCACTGTGCGAACATTAATCCACACCAGGTAGCATCGCATCCACAGTGCATCCCTATAATTTCCGGATTCAGCATGAAATTTAGGTCATTGTGGGGGAAAAAATTAACTTTTGCTACTAGTCACTAGGCCTACGTCGGAATAATTACCGTTATTTGAGTATACTAGATATACAGTACCTATACTATATAGAGCATACTTGGGAATAACAAATAGAAATTCTATGGAATAGCACTATTCATTAGTTTTTTTGGCTAACTTCTATTTTATTCGTTTGTTTTTAAATTAACTAACTAATAACTTCTATCAGTTACTTTTTACGGGACTAACTAATAACTTCTAACTAGTTAGAATTTTCAACTAACTTTCCCAATTATGCGGAAGCATCTCAAATAATGGTTATTTAATTCACGTGATCAGTGAGGGTTGCGTGCGGCCGTGAGAGGTCAGTGCCCTTGTAGACAAACAACGCGGGGGTGGGGAAAGAGAAAGTCAAAGTCCAGTTGCTTTGGAATGCAGTGGGCCTGAAGAAGGGTAGTGACGGCCATTATCAACACCCCAAGCACTGATGGGTGGGAAGGGGAAATGTTTGTTTGGTGATTGATATATCATCTCAAGTGTCAAAACATTGTCTTTAGTTGATGTTCATTATCTGACAAGTTTTATGTCATTTGTTTATGTTGTAGTAATGTAAAATGTGACAATGTTTGATTAAAACACAAGTACCAGGGGACCGATCTTGCTCAAGGTGTTTGATTTGTTCAAGAGGTAAAAAATAGGCTAGAGCTTATAAGCCTACAAATATTTTCAGTCTTACTACGATTAATTAAGTAGTAAAGTCAACTCGTTTTTGTTAGACATCCACTTATCCTCAATTTAGTCTACAAAACTTTTTAATTTGGATGATCAATCTATAAAATGTCCACAATAAGCTTCAATCAATATAAAACTCATGATACATAACATCTGTTATCTGACGACCGTTATTGCATTAAGTCATTGGGATCGTGGAACGTTGCAACTATAATTACGGGATGGTGTAATAACGCATCAATTCGTGCGGTGCATCGTCGAAAAATACAAATCTCCTTGGCCTTTCCTTTAGATTTTTAGTTCAATGTCAGTGTATATTGTTTTGCAGTAAAACACTTAATGTTTTTGAACAGTCGTAATTATCTCTTTGGTTAGTAACTATATACCTACACTTGATAGAGGACATGTTCACGCATACCACGGTATCAATGTTGTATCTCAGGAACGATTTAGCGTCATCCTGGGGGCTGAAAAGTGACGAAGGGCTCTCGCGCAATCTATTGACGGTGATATTAATTCCCGAGCAGAAATTCCACTAGTTGCTTTTGTTGACATTCTGCAAGACGACTCGTCCAGCTTACCAATGGTTAGCAGCCAACCTAGTACTGTGTGATTTTCATTTTCTAGGTTACTGCAGATCATTTTGTACCTTAATTTAATACCTTTTCATTTTTTAAAGAACTAATTTTAACACGTTCGCTACCGAGCGTCGCGGTTAATATCTGTTTATGTTTTTAGGTGAAAGTAAGTTAAAAAAAATCGATTTTTCAAGAACAGTTCATAATTAAAACAGTTTATAAGTATTAGTTGAGACTCCCGCCCACACACAGTTAAGTTTTAATCTTCTTTTGGGTGTGTATATTTCTTTGCAAGTTAAAGCAAACTGTTTTTTTTTTAAATTAATTAACATTAAGTTTTGATTACATTGTAAGTTATAAATAATTTGCTTCTTAGATCGTTGTAATTTTATTGTATTACTTAAGGAGAAATAAAGATTTATTATTATTATTATTATTATTATTACCTAATTGAACAAATGTAAAAGCTACACATGGGATAATGCAGCATACATACATACAGATGGAGAAAAGTAAAGAACAGTTTTTCCAACTATCATATGACGTCACCAGTCATCATATCCATAGACCAAGCGACGCAGTTGTGCGTCAGACATCCCTATAGACCACTGCAGAGAATTCAGTGCCTTCAAATAGACTGTTACAAAGATATAAGCGTTTTGATAACATTGGAACACCAACGCAAATATTTCAGTCTTATTTTAATGTGACTAGCCGTCGCATCTATGGGTAGAAACCAGCCGTCGTCCACAGGGCCGGATTTCCCAATAGGCCCGGTAGGCCCGGGCCTATGGGCGCAAGGTCCTAGAGGGCGCACGGCCGAGAGTAAATTTTTTTTTAAAGTCATACGCGCTGCTACTGCGTAGTAACGAACAAAAGCAGGAGGAGGTAGGCCTACACTATGCGTGTGCAGCGGCCAGCAGCCCGCGAGCCACGACGTGTCCACCAGACCGACAGGGCAGCACGGAAAAGAAGGCAAAGCCATATAATATATTATCGACTTTGACTTAAATGTGTTCTGAAATCATTTTATAATCAATCAAAGTATTAAAAATATCATTTTTGCAGTTCTAAAAATTAATTTGTCAACGTTAAGTATTTTTTTTTAGATTAACACTTCCTTTTTGATAATTTATTATCTTTCAAAACTTTGCCGCCCTAGGCGCGCCTATTCGGAAATATGCCCCTGCTTTGGAGTAAGTTAAAAAAAAAAACGTTTTTGGCATGTTTGACTTTATATTTCTCTTAACTTTTGTCTAAAATTAATTCTTAGCTTAATTGGGAGTTTATACTCACTCTAATCAACCCTCGAAAGGGGGGGGGGTTGATTTTAGTTGAAATAAAAATCTCGATTTTTTGAGGTTCCTTTCAATTTAAGAGTCGACAAACGTATGATTATATTGAAGTAAACTAATGTTTTGTATACAACTTTTTATAGTGTACATTTGTCATTTTGTGCCATAACGCCTTTCTTCACTCCAACCCGCTCAAAAAACCATTTTGATAGTTGTGTCCTTGGAATTTGGGTATATAGCCACTTACCCACCTATATTAGAGCTAGTATTTTGAAATTTGGTATGGGTGTTGGTCTTATAAGCCCAAATTCTTAAAGATTTTTAAAATTCTCATTTCCTAATTTAACCCCACTCCATTGATTAAAAATATCCCCCATAATAACTTTATGGAGAATAAGCGTGCGCAGAATAAAATGGGGTAGCGGATTTCTACCCCCGGATATTTACCCCCATGAAAAAATGCCTACGTCATTTTGACGTCACGAGGGGCGGGGCTTATACACGTTCGAGAAACAGCCCGCGGCTGGAAATCTACCCCCGGACATCTACCCCCGGAAATCTACCCCCCCGTGGTCAGCCCTGCCGCGTATCGGCACAGAAAACGTACTACTCTAACCCAGAATGCCAAACGCATGGTAAAAAGCATTAAGCGTGTTGAGAGAGCTTTGCCTGCCAATCCGTAGGCAGCGCCACCAGCGTTGCTATGCTGGTGCATGGCAACGCTGGTGGCGCTGCCTACGGCTTGACAGGCAAAGCTCTCTCAAAACGCTTAATGCTTTTTACCATGCGGTTGGCATTCTGGGTTATAGTAGTACGTTTTCTGTGGTATCGGGCAATATTCATTGTTGTAATTGATTTTATAAATTGCTTTACCTTCTTATATCCAGTAGTAGACATGCGATATGTCGATGTCTGTTTTAACATTGTCCATATTTATAATTCAATAAGTTGTAACAGTCCTTTTCAACCCGATCTACTTCACTGATTTTTACGGTCTCTTTTAAAAGCTTAAGATCTAGCGCAGCACAAAATGGTAATTAAAAGGATATTTCGATTAGGGCTTCAAAAGGTTGACCACTAAGCCTTTCATTTATTTTTAGAAGGTGCTTCCAATGGTTGACCAACTTTTACACTATACAGTAACAGTTTAAAAGTGAAATGTGAGTAGTACTCATCAGATCAATTTTTAAGTCAGGTTGTGAAAACATGAATAGATCGCCTGCAACTGTAAACAGGAAATGAAAAAGTTATGAAGATAATATATTATTGCGCACTTTTCACATGGTCAAGTGTTACATCGTACTGAACCATTGTTTTTTACAGACATTTCTTAAAGGATAAAGTGAATAAACTGTGGTGAACTTCCGGTTTATTCAATGTAGGGCAGGCCTAGTAGTGATAATTGTTTAGTAAACCAAAACTCAGTTGTAAACTGTTAAATTGAGAAAGAGGATCAATAAAAGTCAGGTGTATAATGGTAAATTTTTCATATCACCTAGTAGTAAAAAGTTAGTTTCTAAGATTTTAGATCTTTAGATGCGTACTAAGAAAGGATTTAAAGTATT